CTCTTGTTTGCACATTAAACTTTATGAAAACTGTTATATGTTCTACTCTTGTCTCTGTATTTTCCAACTTGTTTTACATTCCAAAGATGTTTTGTGATTAATTACTTTTGTACATTGTCATACAGAAAGCTGATATAATTTTAAAGTCACAAAAAGTGGAATGGCATGTTTTAAAGTGTAGTTTTAACCTAAGTGTCTAAGTTAACAGAAGGGGGTTCTCAGTTTAAAAAAAACACTTGAGCATATTATAGTTTTCTAAGTAAAATCTGAAAAGTGTGAAGTGTCCTTCTTTATCCCAACCATGATAAACAAAAGTCAGCAGCCAGTTACACATAGGCATGATAGCGTATTTCCATCTGAGTATGCATAGAGCTCAAGTTTAATGAAACCTAGAAGTACAAAACTATTTTTACCCTGATCACATTATCCTTTCTTTGCAACATGGTGAAAGCATCATGCTGTGGAAGTGCTTTTCTTGACGGATGGTGAGAGTTGATGGAAAGGTGCATTGATATAGAAAGAGGGAAATCTGTTAGAGTTCAAAAGGCTTGAAATGGGGAGATTCAGCAAGACAAAGGCTTAAAACCACGGGAACTCCATCAAGCTGAGAATCTGTAGCAAGACTTGAAAACTCCTCGTGTTATTTCCATTCAATTTGCCTTCAGTAACTATAATCTGTTGAAAGAATCTGAAAAGATTTCTCTAGATATGCGAAGCTGGTAGTAATTAAAAAAAAAGTCAGAGGTAGTACTACAAAGTACTGACTTGGGGGCAGATTGCATATGCACCCCCACACATTTCCCATTTAAATTTGCAAAGAAAATGCGAGCATCCTGCGTCTTTTTCCGTCAACTTGATAAGTGTGTGTTACTTTGAGGTAGTCTATAATAAAAAATCCAACTAACATGCATCAAAGTTTTAGGCTGTAACTTGACAAAATATGATGAGTTTAAAATGAAAGAATAGTTTTACAAGGCCCTTTACATTAATACATTGAATGGATACTGTGCTGTAAGATATCAAACTTGTGATTTAAATAACTCCAAATGAAAACAATATCCTGGGATGTTTATTCACAGACAAGCAATTAGCTTTAATTAGAAATTATTTTTAAAAAGGCTTTCCTTGAAATAAATTCACAGAGACATGCAGACAATGCAACAACAACCCCCTTCTGACTGCTTCTTACCAGTTTTGGGTGGGGTCCCTTTCACTGTGGAGTGGGGCCGCTGTAGATGGGGGGTTGGGAGCCGTCGAGATGCAGCTTAGGCAGGGCTGAGCAGGGGTGGGGGGCTGCTTGCTAGACAGCCAGTAAACTCAGCATGGGAATTTTCTGAAAAGTTGAGAGAGCAACATTTTGCATGTTATCAGCTGCATAACAAAGGAGTGGGACAGTGTGAACGCATAACATCCTGCATGAGTTGACCAGCACTCCATTCAAAGGATGCAGCATCTGCCTTCATCCACGCATTTTCTCTTGGGGAAACGAGGACTCACACGATGGATCAAATAGTCTCACTTGCCTTGTTTTGCTTCACTCTTTTGCACTCAGTAACCCCCCTTTTTCCCTAAAGATCAGCCATGATTTCACAGCACTTTTTTTTTTCTTCCTCTTTTGAGTGATGCCATGCGTAGGCGTGCCCCCAGCTTGCAATGAGGGTCAACAGTGAAGGTTGTTGTTTATGCCAGTGTCACAGTGCATCCATCAGAGGAGGACACTGAATGGCCCTAGGGACTGAACTGAAAATGGCTCTGTAGTGTTGTAAACTTTGAATGCAGTAAAGGACATTTTAGTCCCAGTCTGTTTGCATTACTTTATGATATATTCTGTTGGTAGCTTTTACTTCGAAATACTTTACTACAAATAAACGCTACACTGCAGATGGAACTATGAAGAGCGAAACCGTGTAAGAAAGAGCTATCTGTCAATTATAAACTTTCTTTCAAACTGCAAAGTGCAATGAATAACTAACTCAGCACATCACCCAGAATACAAACATAGGTACAATTTACAATCATAGACCTGAAGATTGATGTTCGCAAATATTTTGTTGTATGTGCAAAGATAGTACAGAATAGAAGCTGTAATTGCCAAGAAAGTTGATAAAGTACTGAATACTTTATCCATGCAACATTTCTCAGATTTTCATTTGTAGATAAAAACAACCATCTACTACATTGGAACCCAATAAAATACATTCAGGCTTGTAGTTGTAATGTGACAAAATGCTTAGCTGGATTTTGTGGGCAACTGTTGCTGTGTGGCAGAGTTGTCGACTTGCAATCGGAAGGTTGTAAGTTCGATTCCAGCTTCCACATGTTGATGTGGAAGCTTAACCCCAAATTGCCTACCGGTCTTTGTATCGGTGTGTGAATGGGTGGATGTGACTCTAGTGTAAAGTGCTTTGAGTGGTCAAAATGACTGGAAAACTGCTATATACTGTAAGTTCAGTCCATTTACACAGCTCATATTTTATTAAGATTGAGTTTACAAGTTAAGTTTACATAAATGCACCCAAACAGACAGATTTGCATCTGGTTCATGCCTTAGGCAATGAGGCCAAAAGTCACCAGGAAAAGGTCATGTGACAAATAGCTGCCGTGCATGCCATAGTAAGATGTGCTGCTTCCAATGAAAAAATATGCCTGATGCACCAATTCTTATTGCAGACTAATAAAGTCCAAACTGTAACATTTAACGGTGATCCTTGTTTTGCATGTCTGCTTGTAAGAAAAGTCTGTCTGTCTATTTGTAACATCTGTAACTCATAACTAACTGCAGCCTGAAACTTGGCACCTGCACAGAATGGATACAGTGAGAACATGCACCTAGTTTTCCCTTCCATTATATAAACATGACAAAATCATTAAAGAAAGAAAAATAACACAGATGGATGGTTTTTTTTGGGGGGGGATCTGCTGAAGTGATGGGTAAAAAACAACTCTATTAAATTGTTTTTAATAACATTTGACAGCCATGATTTGATTGATTTGTTGAGGAAGTAGCATGTTTTACAAATATCCTTCTCTGTAGATTTCCTCTCACTTGATAGCTTCTGATTCTTTGATTTGTAATCTAGATTCGAGCCGTGTATGGCACATTCTACATGTAGTGTTAGAATGCAAGACAACATCACACAAATTGTCCAGTATTTAGTATTTGTTAACAAATAGGTTTGGGTTAATACAAAATTCTGAATCCTATTATAAAGTGCTCTATGTCAGTCACAGTTTAAACACTGGGTGGGAATGTGTAACTGGTAGAAGGAGACTAAAGTGCGAGATTTGATTGCAAACCATTTTAAACAGGGGATTGACTGTGGCGTACACTGCTGAGAGCAGCAGATTCCCACTTTGATAATGTGACTGAAATGAAGTTGCTCATGTGCCAAGACAAAAATGTACAATTTTCCCTGAATATTTTTTTTCTAAAGTCAATGAATCAACAAAAAAGGATTAAGTGCAGGGGATAATTCCCCAGGCGCCTCAATTTGGTATAAATCTCCATTAGCCTGTCCGTGAAGACAATATCTATTCTTAGAGGGGCTAAGACTAAAGCAAACTTCTATTACTATCTCAACAGAGCCAAAGTGGTTTATGCAAACACTGATTCATGAACTTTAAAATGCTTTTACTTTAGCAGTGGACAGAAATGGACAACACTACAGAGGAAATGGAGATTGTGCGTCATGACTGAAACACTTACTGAGAACAAAACATGTGAAGTGTTTCCAGACAGGAAAGTAAGACATCAAATAGCTTAAATTAGAACCAATATGTTGAACAAATAGAATATGTTGTTGCTTAATTAATAATATTTGTACAGCATTACTCAGGCACAGAAATCTTGCACGTACACAAAAAATAAAAAACCCATCAAGCCCAGTGAAAATGTCTATTTGCAGTTACATTTACTTATCTTTTTAACACCCATGTGGGATAATCACATTTGTGAATCTATTAGTTGCCGCGATAGAACACAACACATCATCATATTCACCCCAGCAATTGGGTGGGTGCAGCAGCCCAATCTAGCAGAAGCTCCCAATCAGCTGAGCTGCGGCTGAAGACAGTCACATGTCTTATCTGGGTTTGTTTGTTTTTTTGTGTGTGTGTTTTTTTTTTTTCCTTCCACGTGTCAAGATACACGAAACAGGAGGCAGGACCAAACAAACCTGATAGGCTCATTGCGTGTCACCAGGTTATACTAGGCAAAGAGGGCTGTTCTCTTAAAGGGCCAGAGACATTTATTTTTTTCCCTCGAACAACAACACAGGATCATCTTAAGAAAACTATGGAAAGGCGGTTTTGAATCTGTAACAGAGCAAAGGGGAGTAGATTTAAATGGTTAGGTCATCATGACATCTAGGGAAAAAAAGGAAAAACAATGCAAACATATCCTTCCTTATGTTGTTTACTTGACAGGACACAGTTTTGCGATATATGTATTTAAATCAATTGTATATAGTAATGAATACAGCACTGAACAGTTTATAGATACATCACTGACTAATATTCTAAACAGAAGCATTTGTTTTTGTTTTGTTTTTTCTGCTTGCAATTTTAACGCTTCCTATCTTAATGTCGAATAAACAACATACTTACTAGTACAAATACATTTTAAAAAAATCAATACAATAAAAAAAAATACAACCTAAGCTGCATTTTCGAACCTGTCAATGTCTTATTTGCATAACAACAGTGTGGCGCCTTTCACATTGAGATGGGCGGGCCATTTGTGATACAAGGAGGGGGAGAAAAAAAAAGGAAAACAACCCCGCTGCTGCCAGCAGAAGTCTGATACTTGTAATGCGAGAAGGTGCGCGGCTCCAACTTCTACGCTCCATAGGAATCAAGGAGACGGCAACTCGTCAAGATACCACCAATAACAACGGGAAGCGCTTTTCCTGGCGGTGAGTGTTTTAAAGCGCTTCGCATCTTTGTTGAAAAGCCCCGGGGAACAAAAAAGTAACGGACGAGCTCGCGCGCACACATTGTCGCGTGCGTCCATTTGTGGGACCAGAGTTTATATAAAGACGCGGAGTGGGCAGCCGGCCACGGGGCATGCCGGGGCACAGACACGACGAGCGGCGTTGATAAGCGGATATCAACACCGGGTGAAAGCGGTAGCAGAATTGTATTTATGTGCTGGTTCTGAATGATTGTTAAACATTCCGGTGTCATCGAGAGAGAGCACTGGGGGAAAGTAACGGGTGAGATTCAGCATCGTCCCGGCAGATGTTGACTGCTGTTTGGGCACTCTCTTCTGTTAGCAACTTTCGCTATAAACGTTACAGTGGATAGTAAACAGTTAGCTCACTGTACACGATGTGTTATTATCGCGGTTTCTGCTGAATGGCTGGTGAATTCGAGGAACACTTTTGTCCGGTGAGAAATCGTCTTAAAGCTCCCTAAATAGGTTTCTTGTGCAAAATTAAGATTAAGCTAGTTTTCGCTGTAACGAGTTAGCGACAAATTAGAGCTCAGGTCAAAGTTGTTGCACAAAAGTTAACCAGTTACAAGACTGGTTGACTTGTGTAACTTTTGTAGCAGCCATTTTTATCCACCTGATTCCTTTATTAATATGTAATCGCAGCCTTGTTGCTGTGAGTGCTGCTTGGCAGGAATGCATTGTGCTGTACATGTCAGCGGGTTGACGCGCACGGCTGTCCGGATTTCAAGCTGCTGATCCGGGTGCAAGCGCCACAGCTTACCGGTGTACCTCCGGAGGCTCAATAGCGGTTCAAAACAACTTGACTACACTTAGAAATCTTGACATGTTTATTGTAGTTTTTCGGTTTAGCACTCTATATTGTTCAGGCCCCTTACAGCCTAAATAAAATATTGAATTTTGTCATACAAATAAAAAAAATATTCCTTGATTTTATTTAATATTTTGCTAGCAAAAAAAAAAAGAAAAGGAAAAATTGGGGTGTACTGCTTTTAAGCAATAAACCCCAAACCTTTCAGCTTTACGTGTATTTGATTGATAGTAGTATGAAAGCAGTACGTGAAGAGCCGAGTCCCAGACCAGCTTTGCCTGTCGGTGAGCACAGATGGTGCAGCAGAGGGAGCCACTTTGTGCTGGGACTTTGAGCCTCTGACCATCAGCGGACTCACTGCCAGGCCTCCCCTGCAGCCCAGGGGCAGTGTGTCTCCGCGTGTGTGTGAGTGAGTGAGTGTCGAGTGTGTGATGCCTTTCTTTGTGTCTTCCTGTATTCTCTGTTTGTTTTTTATTTGTCTGACACTATGGTAATAGTGTGGCATAGTCCTCTGATGACTGCCAGTGGAAGTTCAAGACAGGGCTTGCTTTGTCACTGACACGCAACTTGAGAGCACACTTGATATTGTTGAAACTTGTTGCTCAGTTCACTTCATATACTACTTTCCTGAAGAAAAAGTTAACATTCTGTGGGATTGTCCTGAATTTAAAAGTGGTGTGCCAATCACACTATCAAATCAGTGTTGTTTTGCTATTACATGTTGCATGTGGAAAGATAAAGATATAAACGTTATATTTTTACACTGACTTCTTTTTATACTTCTCTGTATTTATTTTTGATCATTTTAACCTTCTTTCGCTCCAGATATGACATCATGCTCAAAGTAACTTTCACAAAGGGAAACGTGACTTCAGCCGCCTCGTTTGGTAAACACAACACCAGCGCTTCCAGTTTCAAGTTTCGCATTTGCACACCCTGCCTGTTTGTCTCCACTTACAGGCCAAAAAAAAGAACTACTGGCACACTTGACAGCGTGATATAACAGTTGTTTCCAATTTGGGCAGGCGGCCAACAAGGAAGAACGAGGAAAAACGAGTGCACACTCGCGTGTCCAATGGGCAGAGTGAAACTGGTTATCTCAGTCATGAAACGGTCGCTGCACGCACTGCACTTAACTGGCGGTTTAGTCTACAGTTTTGGTTTCACTCACACTTGATTGCCACTGGTGCGTTTGTAGTTCACTAGAACAGATAGGCATCTATCCGGTGACAGTAAGATTTAGAGAGACAACAACAACAAAAAAAAAACTTATATATTTTTATGGTGAAGCAACTCAGTGAATTTTCTGGCACTCACTCTGGATTTGGCTCATTATTCGAAAGGATTGGCAAAAATATGCTTGAGGAGAGCAGCAAAGCTTTAAATCCCCCCCTTGTGCAGGCTGTTTCCACAGCCTGGGTTCTGTTCAATTTTATTTTGGCTTATTCTGCATCTACTGTCTCCATTTACGCATAAATTTAAATACCCATCTTTCATGCTTCTGAGATGATCCACCTCTGCTTGTTTGTTTTCATTGTTATGGCATACATGTAAGCTTCTTACCGGGCATTATAATGAGTAATGATTTCTTCCTATTTAATGCAAATCGGATGAGATCATTCCATCTGCCACAGGGCAAAGTTTTCACTGAAAGCAGGATTATATTTAGAATTTTTGTTTCCTTTCAAAAGAAATCACCACTAACTAACAGAGCATATGCTCATAAACACTTAGTCATGCTTGTATATTTTGGTATTACACCAATTTCACGCCTAAAATCATCCCCTTCTAAAGTTTCCATGCCATGTATCCCCACTGTTTTGTCTCCAGGGAGTTTACCGCTGAGGCGTCGGATGGATGATGAGGAGGAGGACATGTCACTGCCCACCTCACAGCTCAGGGTATTACCCTTCGGGGACGTCAAGCAACACGAACAGTGGTCGAGCAGTCAAACAGTGGCCACGGTTACTGCTGCCGCCGTCGTGGCCACGTCACAGGACCACGGCAACCACGGCATCAACGCCGTGTCCTGCAGCATACACCTGCAGCCTCACGTGCCCTTTAACGGTAAGGAGTCGGGAGATATTCTGACCCTAAACAGGAAAAACAAAGCGATAAATATGCAGTACAGCTTCTTGGTGAAAGCTCGGTTATTAAAAGTTTCCTTTATTTAAGATCAAAATTTAATCTTGATTTTTCTTTTCCAACTAATAAAATGACATTGAATATCTACACGACTACTATAGCATAAAAGTATATAAATTAAGCTCAGAATCAAATAGTTATTTTAAACATTTTTTTTTCTGCCTTATCAAAATTATATTTATTTTATAATGTGCTATAAATGCATACCTAACTAAATTTAGTTGGTAATTGCATTACACTGTTTCTTTTTTTGAGGGGCTTTCCTTACAAGAGGTTCTTAAAAATCTAATTAAAGAAAAATGACAACAACAATTTCTTAGACAGATAAAGTTACACACCCACGTTGATAACAGCCGTCATTCTGAATCTAATAGCATTTTCCCATGTCTAATCCAATCCGCGTGACGTCATGTTAAGTAAATTAAATGAATGTTGAAGCAGAATGCTGCTTGTTTGTTGACTCGGCATGGGTGTATGAGAGCTACCTGTTGTTCTGGGCTTAAAATCATCACTACGGTAAAAACACCGCCTGTTGTGACCTTGTCGCTCATTGTAAACTAAGCAGTAATAGATGTCATACGCTTGGCTCGGTGCCACCCCTCCTTTGCAAACAAAGTCTGCTGTCGTGCATGATAACAACAAATACATTGTTTTTCCCTCTTAGCGGCATGACTGCAGGTACGCGCGCCAGAGGCTGTGAGTGAACTCAGCGACAGCCCAATAAAAGCTGGCAGTTCACTGAGAGTCTTGTTGATTTAATTAAGTGCTGCAGTTGTATGCTTCGGATCGGTCTTCGTGTTGATTTATGAACTCCTTATTTGTAATCTTGCTGATTTTTCTAGTTTCTAACTGAATCATATGTTACACAAAAGCCGAAATGTTAAAGTCTAAAGACTTTTATCAGCTCTTTTCCACAGTATGACCTCTCCTTAAGACCTTCAAAGGTCCACCATTCAAGTTGCCCATGTCCTTCGAGAATATTGCTCACTTAAGGATGCAGCTGAAGCAGTCATTGAATTCTTGGTGGCTTAGAGGTCAACATGAGTTTTTTATAGTTAGACCTAACTCTATGCCTCAGGCCAGGGTTGGAGATAAGGGTGGACCTTTTCAAGTTTGTGGGTTGTTGTGACTGTATGGCAGAACAATCATAGCGTGAAGAACACAAAAACATTCCCACTGTAAATAAGCTTCTTCAGGACGCCACTTACTTAAAGAATCAATCAATCAATCAAATTTTATTTGTATAGCACATTTTAGCAGCAAGGCATTTCAAAGTGCTTTACATCATAAACACAAAGTCATGCAACATAGAATAAACAATACATTGGTCCATCATTAAATTCTTAATTGGTTACGTTTCAAATACAATTCTAAACAGGTGTGTTTTTAGTTGAGATTTAAAGGAAGTCAGGGTTTCTGCTGTTTTACAGTTTTCTGGAAATTTGTTTCAAATTTTTGGTGCATAGATACTAAAGAAGTGTGATTTATATCACAAAACTGCATGTAGTAACTGCAATCAATGATTATTTTTTAATTTCCTGATATTTATTGCTGCTCTCGTGCAACAAGCACCAGAGAAAATAGAAAAAATTACATTCGTGATAATGCTGTTAGTTTCATTATATATAGATATATAAAAAACATTAATTGAAATTTATTGAGTCAAGAATAAATCAAAATTCTTATCATAATAAGAAATATTTAACAATCCATGATAAACAACACAACAAATGCCCAACCGAATGACTCATACATTTTTTTTTCAAAAACAGAAAGGAGTTAAGTATTTAATATAAAAAAAAAACTAAAATAGAAGTTTTAAGAAGATTAATTTGATCTTTTTAGGCAACGCTGGATCGCCCTTACATCTTCCCGCTCAGTTTGTCCCCATGGAAGACCGAGGAGGAAGGCATGTTGTTGAGGAAGAGGACAGAGGGGCGGAGGACGATAGGATGGCACAGAGGCCCGAGGTGGAGCCGATGGGGCTGAGCGCCGAGGCCCAAATTGGCCGTAAACTCCGGGAGATTGGAGACAAGTTCCACCAGGATCACATTGAACTGGTAAGCCTCAGCTCTCAGCATTGAGGTGAATCCACAATAAACCAGTGAAGTGCCTCAAAGATACAAGGGGATGAAAGTTAGAGTACATAAATATATTGTTTGTTTTGAAATAGCTTGTGAGGTGGGGCAAATTTTGGAACTGATGAGTAATATTTAATTTAAACACATATTTACGTGGTAAAGCCTATAATAAGCAGATAAACAAGCTGGGTATTGTCCTGCCTGTGAGTTTTAATAGTCATGTTCATTAATAGGTACAGCTAAAGATTCTTATCAGCTGCCCTGTCTGTTCTGGAACGGAGGCTGCTTTAAAAGCAAGGTGTGGCTTTTGAGAAGCGGTTAAATGCGTAGTTTCGTAGAAAAGGTGAGAATTGCTGAAAGACCAGAGAGACCAAAGAAAAATACCCTAGTGGAAGAGCAGAGTTTGAAGAATGACGTTGCAGAGTTCAAAGATGAGCAGGTGAGATCGATACTACTGTCACAAACATTAGCGCCGCAGCACGTCTGTGTCTGGGTAGACTTTGCCGGCTGTTTATACGCGCGTCTAAAAATAGATTCTGACTCACACACTTATGAACACAGCCAGTAACATGACGGCTACCCACAATACCTCACTTGTCCCGCCGCCTGCCTCAGCTCGTGCGTTGTCTGTGTGTGTTTTGGTTTGCATGTGCAACTCTCCAGCAGAGAGATAAGAGAGAACTTTCTTTTATTTTCCTGATTTGTCAGACGTCTGAGCTCAGATTGGTTTCTAGCTGGTGGAGGAATATTCCATTGGGAGAAGCCTCACAAATAACCCGTTATTATATCCAATCACTTCCCTATGTTGCTATTGTTAGACGTCTGAGCCTGCTTTTCAAGCAGAGCTTACCATTACAGGCCAATGTGTGGCTTTTTGGCTGGGTGAAGCAAACTTTACTTGTGGTTATATTCATTTTTAAGAAAAAAACCCACCCTGACATTAAGCTAGAGGGGTAAACATTCACATTGTCTTAATGGTTTAGGGAATAATAAGCAGAAAATAAATTCCACACTGTTCTCCTCTACCTATAAAAAACGAGTGCAGAAAGATGAGCTTCACGAGAAACACTGGGTTACTGTTTAAATAAGCCTAGTAGTGTAGAATTAAGGGCAATTAGGGACAATTAGAGTACATTTAGTGGTGCTGCTTAAATTCAATCCAGTCTGCCGGTTCTGCATCAAATAGCCTGTGGCAGAGTCTGATTCCTAGACTGGTAGGGACCCTGATGAAGGGAGCGCTTGGAGTGCTTATGCAACGAGCTGCAATATCTACGGGTGGAAGTTTCAGTCCCAGTGGTTGAAGGGAGGCGGGAGATTCCCCAACGCACTTAAACGAGTCCAATCAGGGTACATCATTGGTTAAGAAAATAACACAGCAGATCCAGTAACCTGATTTACTTTTCGAAATCTGGATTCTGTCACAGTATTATCTGTAGTGGTGGATGTTATATCATAGTGAGCGTGTGGAATCTGCACAGCAGCAGATTTAGCTGATTTCAGCTATTTAAAACATGTGATCAAAAGCTTTATTAACTGTTTGCACTTGCACAAAGAGGTTGATTCAAGGCTTGGCGTTGCTTTCTCAGCTGAACACTGATGCCCTCAACTGCACCAAAGTTTCTCTGTTTGAGGCTGAAAGTTGTGTCTGTGCACTTCAGTGGCTGCAACCCGTCAATGAGCTCGAAACTCCACCGACAGCTTTTGGATTTTGCAACATCTTTCCTGCACCTACAAATATGGCCTTGTCACGTCGCACACTTGTCTCGTAGTTGTGTTGAAATGATCCAACTAATGGGCTCCATACACTAGATGCAACGGCAGTGACACAAGTTGAACATTTTTAAACTGTTGTCTTTCTCACGTTGCAAACCCACGTATGCACGTCTGAATGTACGATCTCAAATGTTGCCTCCTGCACATCAAGCCCTTCATCATCAACTGATGATGCAGAGTCCTGCAGCCAGCAGCTTCCTCCCACCTGAATTTACCACTATAATACAGACTTTGTTTTTCTAGCAACAAACCTTTCAGTTTTACCGATTTATGTGTCGATATAGCATTGTGTCCCATAAAAACTAACATTTTTACTAAATGTATCTTAATCTTAAGGTACTTCACAAAACCTCTCTTCAGAAAATCATAACGTTCCCATTAAAGACAGCAAATATCAACTTGTTAAAATTACTATAGATTCCAAAGAATAATTTGACTAATTTGTTTTACAGAATGTTTTCTGTATACAGGCTAATGTTGTGGAAACATTCAGCGTAGTTGGTCTAATCCTTCTCACTCGTAGGGTTTTACCTCACAAGGCGTTATTCTCCTACTGATAAGTGAGATTCATTGGCACTTTCTTCTTCTGTTTCCTCTTACAGTTCATGAGGCATCAGAGACAGAACCTGCCCGTGTGGATGCGCCTTACAATCGCCTTCTTCGGCTTTTTATTCCCAAGAGAGGATCTGGTGCCACACCTGAGGAGAGAGCAGAGGTGAAGGGACGTTGAGCTGGCCTTTCACTTTGGCCTTTGTTCTCTAATTTGAACCAAGGACTCGAACTTTAAAGAGATGGCACTGAAAGATGGAACGACGGGTTTGGATTTTGTTTTTTCTAACTGAATATGAAGATGAGATGAAGAAGACACTGGTCACCGCTGGACGGAGACTGATTACTGTTTTTTTTTTAATTATTATTATTATTTTGTTAGTTTGTTTTGTTTTGTTCTACATCTCCGAGAAGAAGCCATTTTGTTTGAAGAGATATTTTGGAAATATTTGTAAGATGACCTATTTTGTACAGCAGACTGCTCTTTTTATCTGGTGTGTCGACTCCTGAAGGACCTCCATCTGTCCAGGGAATGCCTTACTCTCTCCTCCTGCCGCAGTAAAATGCCCTTTTGCATCAAAAATATCATGCGAGAGAGAGAGAGAGCGATAAAGATTAACGTTTAGGTGACAAGACTGTGGACATTTCCGTGCTGAAGTTAAAGACGCAAACCTTTGAAGAAAGACTCAAGGCACATTTCTGAGTTATTCTCCTAAAGACAAAAGAAAGCCCTGTACTCACCGTTCACCTCTCCACATTGGCTCATCAAACCTGCCGGTCTGCTCAGATGCACGTTGAAAATCAACTGTTTGAATGAACCTACTTGAATTGCACGTGCCAAAGAGATTTCCGGCACCACGCTTAAAGGTCCGACGCAGTAATAGTTTTGGGGTCACGTGTCTGGTGCTCTCCACCTGCAAGTCCTGAGACCAAACAAGCACAAACCAACACAGGCCCAGAAGCCTCACTCAGTCTGGGATTACCATCAGGGATCCGAGAACAATCACCTGAAAAGCTCCGGATAAAAACGCCATCGTTCTCCCAAACGTCCAGTCACTCGCCTGGCTGGATCGACAATCGCAAATTTTGCCCTTTGCTGCACTGCGGCTTCGAGCCAGTCGATCAGATGTATTGGCAATCAAGGCGGGGTGGGGTTTGTTTCTCTCCAGCGCTGTTTCGAATGCGACATGTCTCAAACTGCCAGCTTTACTTCTGTACAGTTTAAAAACTAAAATAAAAAACCTCTTACGGACATGGGAACACATTCATACAACCTTTGTGCAGCGACTCACACCAACACAGCCACTATGTGTCGATGTAAATTCTGGAATAATATGTTAGAGATTGATCCTTTTCGGCATCATATGGGATATAGAGTCATTATATAAACATTTGAAGACACTGATTGTTTTTTGTTCATCTTTTTTTCTTTTTTCCAGGGAGTAGTTAGCAGTCATGCTATCAGATAGACTTAACTCATTCAGCTGTATTTGGTAAAGAGGAGATGAACATGAAGTGTGTTACATGCTGTCAAGTTTTTTTATTTCGTTTGCTATGAGAGTAGCTGAGTTTGTTTCCTGCAAACACTGAACGCTGAGCCAGTTTAGATGGTTTGGATACACACTCATCTGCAGTCCAAAGCACCACAGATACACTCACTGAACTACTCCCTGAAGATAAATTTCATTTTTGTTTCATCTTAAGTAATTTATTCTAATTTATTTTGTGCGCAACTGCTCAGTGCTACTGTATAGACGCCGTCTCGGCTTGTACAGTCCTTGTTCTCCTCGTCGTCGGGGTGCGTTCAGTTTTCAAAGCCTGCGTGTGAGTAGGTTGGACTAAAAGCCATGTGCCTCGTGCTCTCTCTCTCTTTTCCTCTCTCTCTTTTTTCACGCGCAAAAACGCCGTGAGTTGTTACAAATTGCGCGAAACGACAAGACAATCAAAACTTGCATAATAAATAAACAAAAACGTGTGCCTTGTGAGTAAAAAGACCTGTCCCGAACATCATCCTCATCAGCACTTGGCATAGTTCATCCCAGAGTTCAGCGGTCCCGACTCTACCGTTTCACAAATCTCACGTAAGCTCGCGAGGCACAGGCTCAACCTTTTTGACACCTCTCGGCACGAACGGCGACCTTTGTCACCTACGCTGAGCCCTCTCAAAACCAGAAACGACTATTCTTTTGCAACACACACTGTAAAAAGGTTTCCGTTCATTTTTATTTTCTGTTTTATCTATACTGTATTTACTTACACCTCTCTCTTTCTACTCCTGTGCTGAGCTTTCCCTCTTGGTTGCTGACTGATCGCCCCGACCCGTTCGGGTTTTTCGTGCTTTATGAGCTGCGATCGAGCGAGGCTTTGACGGAGGAGACGAGCCGCCGCGGTGCCCAGTATCGTTTCTGTTTGAGATGAGTTGAACAGCCGCTCCATCGGAGCCTGCCGTTATTTTTCCACCGTGTCAACCTTGGCTGAAGTGAGACGTTTCTGTTCAGATCTTCAGGGTCATTGATATTAATATCAGTTTTGTTTTGGGGAAAAAAAAACGAGAAAGACTGTCAAGTGTTGTGATTTGATGTTTTTTTTCCTTTTTTGTTTTTATATACATTTTTAACATGAATTTGACACACCGGTTGCTATCTTTATACAACAAATTTTACATACTGTTTTTTGTAAGAAGAAATACCTACAACATGATGTTTTTGGTTTTCTATGATTACAGTTTTTAACATATGACATTACTGATTTTGGATATTGCCAAGTCTGCTGTGTCACTCAGTTAAAGGGCTTTTTAATATATGTAAATGGAGTTTAAAAAAAATGCATGTCCAACATTCCTGGAGATGAAATCTATATCCTAAAAAGTTTGAATGTAACTTAATTGAGTGAAAATCACAATAACGCTTTTTACTACGTGAACCGAACAGCGGAATCTTTCTTGAGACTTCTGCGCTCAGCTGTATCGTCTTCACCTTCTGCTTTCTTTGCGTTCAGAGTGGTCTCAAGGATTTCACACTCGTGTGTGTCCTGATGAAGTGAGACCCAGTCCAGATGTAGCAGTTTTTCCCTTTCTGACGAAAGCATTGGCTGTGTTATCCTTGGGACTGCTCTGCGTCTCCTGTGCAGATTTTTTGAACCACGCAGTTCACTGGAGCGATGGGGGGATTTAGAGGAGGAGGACAGGCGGGATATTTGTTCTTTTTCTAGTGCAATATGCTGTACATAAGAGCTTGGCTCACCAAATCTTACAGTTTCTCTTAATTTTGTTCTGTTGTAAAATGGGTACCATTGCTGTTTTGATTTCTATTAAAACTTTATGAACTATTGAGATGTTCTGTGCTTCATTTTGTTTGTTCACAACAAATCCAAATCATGACACACTTTTGTTGCAGAAACTTTAACTAAAAAGAGCTAGCATCTTTCATTTGTCCTCGTATTAAAAACAGTCTTCACTGTCCAATCAGGCGTTCTTGCGGCGTTAGATTACTCTTTATTTTAGGATTATTATTTATGGAATGGTGCCTTGCTTAAAATAGTTGTTTTGATCAGTTTTATTGATGTAGCCAGAGTTTATTGCAATTAAAGAACAACATACAGGCTCCCTTGCGAAGTTAAATAATGTTAATGATCGTCATTTGTTACGACATAATTACGTAGCACTATGCTTTAAACACAAAATTGAATAATGGCACTTCTAATAAGCATTACAACAAGAAAACCTAATTTTAACTGGATAATAATGTTGGCATTCTTTAAAGAGTGATCTCTACAGTCAAGATGAGGACAAAATCTCAGAGACACAGATTACAAACAACCATTAAAACACACACACATCTAAGAGCAAACTAAAGTCACCAGTAAAAAAAACACTTTAATTGTTTTTGAACTGTGGGGTAAGCCAGAGTGCCCAGAGAGAAACAACACATACACAGGGAGCCAGAACTTTACTGCTGCATGCCAGCAGTTTTAACAACTTCTCCACCGTAAAGCCCTCAACTAAAAAGATCAGGATAAAGATAAAGATGACTGCATGACTAAAAACACTGATTTAAACAAATAGGTCTTCAATTTTGACACAGGTGTTCACTGACAACGCCTGTCTAACATCTGATCCGTGATGGAAGATTTGCGCACCAGCTTAACTTTTGCAAATGTTGGGAACTTTTAGGAGATAACTCAGGGAGAATTTGTGACGGTTAACCAGCTCAAACACAAACAATTCAGAGCCATTGACTACAGGTAAAAACCAACTGAGATTTAGAAATGAATTTGCATCATTCTCATAGAGCGATACAGCCACGTCATTATGGATGTGCAATTTTCGAACATGCATAAAAATCTTCACCATCCTCTGCTGGATGGTGAAGAGGATGGTGAAGATGTACTCCTGTATTACTGAAATGCAACATCTGAAATCCTCGCATTTTTTTCAAACCTAACGAACGCAGATAAACATCTCAGCACCCTGAGGGGACAGGATCGCTCCTTTATGATGGAAGACTTTGGTCAAAAACTACTCCAACTCTTCAAAGGAAATTACAGTCTTCCACAGAAACAATGAAGTTGTTGTATTTACATTTTGACTGCATCGAGTAGCTGAACATTTTTAAAATACAAGCCCCCCCTGAATCTGCTTCAGGAGCACAGCTCCTTATGAAACACCACTGTTTTATCCTTCCCTTTGGGCGTGAGTGAAATTCAACTCATCAGCCTATTCAAATAATAACTTTAAAAACAAAAAATAGACCCTGACTTACCATAAATGTGTTTCAGATTAAAGTCTCTGAAGATTATGAAAGTTAAACTAAATCCAGACAGGAGCAATCAAGATAGGTCATTTAGGAACACACTCTTAAACTAATAAACAAAGCTACATTGACATTTGTAAAAAAAAAAAAAAAAAAAAAAAAACATTTAATTTGTCATGCACGAATTCCTTCACAAGGTTTTGGCTACATTTAGCAACAACCGCCCCCCACCAAAAACAAATAAAGACTCCTCTGTGACTTTACACCATTGATTTAACTCTAAAAGTCCCTGAAATATTAAATCAGACGAGATAAAGGGAGCTTTTCATGATTCCTGGCAGTATTGTTGGAGCCAATCACTACATTTGGTTTCTAACACTACTGCATGGTTAAACACCGCATGGGTCAAATTGACCCACGAACTTTATTGCTGCACCCCAGAAACAAACATAACAGGCGGGTTAACTGGTTCAGTTACAGCTGTCACCTCTCGGGCATTTCCTTTGTCTTTTACCGCTCACACAGACAACACATGGCTGATGCTGCTCTGACACAGCAGTGCGTTCATGTGAGATCCAAACGCTCATCACTAATTTCTGTTACTAAACTGTGTCTGAAACCGATATGAAGCATCAGCTTTCAGGTTTCGTTCAGCGTTTTCCAGCCTTTGCCCGTGATGAACAGTGATTTAGTTGTTCCCCTGCCTCCACGCTCCTCCCGGTTTAAATTGACGGCTCATTAGAAGGCTCTGCAGAAGTTAATGACCTGTCAAGGAGTTAATTAATTCATTTGAATTAGGTCTGTGGGAGCAGACCTAATTCTGTGCTCTACAGTCAGTGGCAGTTTCTGATATGGGCCATATGGGCAGTTCTCCAGGGAAGCATCAAAAATGGGACGCGAGCACAGGAACACCAAATATTACACATTTCCATTTTTATACTTTCAACAAGTTCTCAATTGCTTTTAGGCATGTGCAATCATGCCTAAAAGAGCTTGTTGCTGAGAATATATAGAAACTAGGTTACCTTCTTGGCGTGGACCCTGACTACGTTTAATTTTATTAATCTCAGATAATTTGGTGCATTTTGCATTTAATGGTTGCACGGGTAAGGACCTAGTTATACCCAGGTTGCTGGTTCATGCAAGAACATAAATTCAGTAAATTGGGTATTCTAACCCTGGATATATATATATATATATATATATATATATATATATTATATATATATATATATATATATATATATATATATATATATATATATATATATATATATATATATATATATATATATATATATATATATATATATATCACCCCTGATTTTTTTTTTTTTTTATGTTCAAATGCCACGCTTAGAGATCCAACATTTGATTGTGAAATTGCACTATTAAGAGGTACTTGGGAACGCTGTCCCAGAAGCTCAACATGTCCTCTTTTATTGCCTCTAAAAACCATTTGATATCTGTTTGGAGTATTGATTTATTGGAATGATCTTGTTGAACAACACAGTCTTTGGTTATGAGTCCAAACTTGGGATTGGAAGGCCTTCTCATTATCCCTGCCCCACCTCCCTTCAATTGATCTTGACAGGCAAAGAAAAATAATGTGTTATTTTGCAATCAAAGAAGACTTATGTTTTTATCAGGTTATGTGTCTTGGTTGAGCTTTCACATGTTGAGTTTCCGTTCCTCTTCAGTTATGCAGATATATCCAGATAAAACAAACCAGGTTGGTCTAAAAAATCACTTATGACTCTTTGTTGCACACATAGAAATAACAAGGTTAATCAAAAACTAAAGGCATTTTCTTATCTATATAATATCAATATCATTAACTCATCATAATTAGACCAGTGAGGGGGAAAAAAGCAAAAATAGTTGAATCCTTTGTCATCGTCAAAAAGTTTATTTTGTTTGGAGTTATGCTGACACGAATTGTAAAGCATTTTATCTGACAATTGTCTTAAGCTCTTTGCCACACCTTAAAAATACATCCTGAAGTGCAACATAGACGTTCTCACACAGCTATAGGTTTATGAGCACAAAACAGAGCCTGTGCTCCTGCCAGCTGAAGGGAAAGTCTGGGCTTGATGGTAAATACAGACAAGTGAGTGTATGTGTGTTTGAGAAAGAGAGAGAGAGAGAAAAAAAAAACCCAGGAGGAGGAGGGTGGAGAGGGGCTGAGGGTCTGCTTGGCTCAGCAGTTTTTTTTTTTTTTCTTTCTTTTATTTTTTTCTTTTCTGTGCACAACCCTGACAAAGACCGTTCTGTTCTCCTGGCCACTCACTCAGGGAGACGCCCTCATGATGGCTCAGCTCCTATCTCAAGGGTCACGCCTCGAGCAGAAAAAGGCGCTTTAGCTCGCTTTGTTTACATCTGCCTTTTCTGCCAGGGAACTCCACTTATTAACTCTTTAATCCCCAAACTTGGGCGTGTAGCTACGATAAAAGTCACCAAGGACATCCAGGGTTAGTTTCCGACCAGTATGAGACTTTGCCGCTGCACATAATTGCTGTTTACTGACATCCCATAAGTCTGAAGGCAGATATCTGCTCAATTTAAAGTTTGATATGTTCTGTTCACAACAGTATAGTTTGTAAAACGTTTGTTTTGGGCATAATAATTTCAAAAATAACATCTCAGTTGTTATGAACTCTGTGTTTTATAACAATAATTTGTAATCGATGTGTCAGCAATAATGATCTGGAATAGCTTTGGTCTGCTCTGTGGTTTCTGGTTCAGTTTCTTAGTTCTTGATTCTCTTTCTGAATTTTAACATTTTTCTTACCTCCACACTAATTTTACGATCAGCTAAAAATAACCTCAGTAAAAAACAAAAATGCTGTTTCTGAGATTTCCTTGATCGAAAAACTTTCTGAGCTTACCAGACAATATCAAAAAGTAACAATTTCCCTAATTTGTAAACGTGTGAATCAACCTCAGTCAGTTCAATCTCGAAGAGTGTACTGACCATTAATTCAGGTGGTCTCAAAGGTCTCACGCAGCTCAGATCAATAATCATATCCATGAGGGAATTCCTGGATTAAAACATGTCATTTCCACAAAGAAAGCAAAAACTTTTCTCACATTTGCCTACAATGATCCTCAGAACTTAAGCAAAACAAGCTGCTTGCACGCTAATGTTGTGTTGCGTCAAACCTGCATGTCTTTATCATGACTTAAGATATACAGCTGCAGTCATTAATAAAATGACCTTTTCCTCCTGCTGACTTAAGTGATAAATGGCTCTAACCTTTGCAACGGTTTTCTGTTCTGATATGAACCAATCATCATTCACCTATAGTAACATCTGTTACCATGTTTCTCCTTCACTGTGTTCAGACAAAACTTACAGAAAAATGAACTCTTCTGATTTGTATTCTTTGTGTTTGGCGTTAAAGAAAGTCCAGGAAGTCCAGCAGGTCTCCCCCACACCAACAGATGCCTGAGCAGAGCACACCACACCCAAAAGAGGTTGCAGCAGCCAACACATTCTCTCTTTCACCGTGAAGATTGTCATTGCAATACCAGGGAATGTTTGTTAAATCAATGAAACAATGTCAGTAGCCTTTATTGG